TGCAAAGATGAGTTCACTGGTTCACGTTAGATATCTTTCTGTTTTGGTTTTTGATGGAGCCCCAGTGTATGTGATGAACACGGCCTTATTAGTGAAGTCGGCCACTGATGCTGGGTGATGAGGCCTGGCTTAGTGTGGTGTTCCAGTTCATCTGAAAAGTGTTGGATGTGGTTGAGGTCAGGGCTCTGTAACATTATGAAACAGGAACAGACCTTTCCCCAAACTGGTGCCACAAAGTTGAAATCACACAGCTGCCTAAAACATAATTTTAAGCTGTAGCTTTAAGATTTCTGACCATTATTATCAAGTCGCCCGGCCCAAACGACCCCTGTCATACTGTCCACACATGGGTGTCCACATGCTTTTGACCATATAATGTATTTTGTAGAATATAAAGGAGAATTTTAGAGGGAAACTTGCAATCAAGCAAAGACAAAAGCTGGTTTTCCAAGGTGAGTGTGCATTATTCACTCATTACGAATGCAGTTCTCGCACAGCAGTGACCACTAACAGATTATATTGCAATGTGCACGAACGTCATTGTGTAAATTGGGAAATAAGTACCAATATGAGATTGGTTTAATCTATTTCTGAATCCACATACAAATTATTCATGCCAGCGTATTGTTGCAGTGACATTTTAGCTTTTAACCCGCTTCAAGCTGCCACCATATCCTCTTTCTTGCTAAAGGCCTCTCTCCCTCTGGCCTTTTCTTACAGTGGATCTCCAGTCTGCCCTGACTCAGCACACCTTTTATAAGGACTCTATCTCTTTCTTTCTCTTCTGGCCTTTTCTTTGTCCCGCCGCTGAGAGCAGCTTCCGTCGCTGTATCCCTCTCACGCCGGCCGACACAAAGAACGACTTAAAAAACAACTTCTCTGTCTTCCCCTTTCTCTCTCCCTTGGTTTGCATCTCTTCCCCCCTCCCCCATGCTTCGCCTTTCCTTGACTATGGACACAGTGTTCGTGTGCATTTGGGGAGGTGGTGGGGGGGGGGGGGGGTAAACATCCCATAATCACCAATCAGAAGGATACTGGGGGCAGTTGTCATAGAAACCTCGTGCACGGCTCTCAACGCCCCTCCCACCCCACCACATTCGTAGAATTGCATATCACATAATGATAATAATATCATTTCTGAGGCAAAAAGGAAAAAGGAGGAGGTGGAGGGGAGGGGAGGGGAGGTGGGGTACAGACCATAATAGTGCTCCTGTGCTGCTGGTCGCCATGGAGATTAGCAGAGGGGTGGTGGTGGCGGAGGAGGGTTACAGGCGGGGTCAGATTATCATATAAGTCAAAATGCATACCATAATACTTCTTGGCTGTTCCCCCCCCTCCCCCCGAGACACCACCTCCGCTCCACCTATCCTGCCCTGCAGTACTTGCTATGAAGCTGCACCACATAACAAAGTGCAAATGGATTTGATCAGACCATGTCTGCCACGTGAGATAACACATAGCAGCTGACAGATGGAGAGAACAAAAAAAAGATTGGTACATCGGGGTTGCTGTCCCAGACGGCTCAGATGCGCTGGTGATGCTGTGGAGTTCAAATCTTTCCTGTGACCTTTTCATCCCCTGTCATCATTCCTATTAGTGTCATCTTTTCTAACTGTGTCATCTTTCCACTCTCACTTTGGATATTATGAATAGTGCTAAAACAGTTAGTCAATTGAGGGAAAACTAATACACAATTTTGATAATTGCTTAATCGTTGAAGTGATGTATCAAGCAATAATGCTGAAACTCCATCCATCCATCGTCAACCGCTTATCCTGTGTACAGGGTCGCGGGGTAATGCTGAAACTGTTCATTTTTATTCATCCTAATCGTATCTGCCTTTTTGCATGACCGTCAATTGTCAGTTCTGCCCAGTGACAATTTCTATAAAGTTTGTTTAAACAAGACAAAAGCATTCTTAACAACCTTGACAAAAAGAGAGAAAGAGAAACTGCTCAAATTGCATACAGGAGTCTGACCAATCTTCTGCACAGCAGCTGGATCATTGATTGTTCAGGCAAGCCACTGCAGGGGTGGTGGTGGCGCATAGATAAGATGTTTGCCTTTGCGTGGGAGACCTGGGTTCGATTCCCACTGAGACATCCACCATTGTGTCCCTGACACTTAACCCCTAGTCCAGAGGTGTGTGACCTCTGACATGTATAGCAATTGTAAGTCTCTTCGGATAAAAGCGTCAGCTAAATGAATAAATGTAAATTAATATGGTGTCGTGGACCAATTCACGTACTCCATACAGGGCCTCCCCGACCAAGTGGCAACCTCTGGCTCTCACGACTGAAGCTCGACTCCTCTAGTTACTAAAGTCACTTTCCTAATGAGTTTATGATCTCAATTGTTAGTTTCAAGTCTTCAACACAGCATGATGGTCATTTAGTTAATTATGGTCCCATTTAGAGGAAAATAGACAATAAAGCATACAATGGCGACCTGTCAATCAGGACAGACGCAACTTGTGTCCACTGCACTGTGGGAATTTAGC